CAGCCCATCCCCACCCACTCCTCAGCCAGGTGGAGGTTTTGGTGAACTGCAGGTAGCTGTGGGTCACACTGAGCCACCACACTCAGCAGAAAGCCAGGAACCAGGTCTTCCAGGTGGCTCAGATTTCATGGGAGAGGGGCTCCCACCAAGTACTTCACCTCCTTCCTGACCCTTCGGCCCACGGGTTGGAGGCTGGAAAGGCCCAGATGACTCGTACTGGGAAGGCTAACTCAGCATCAGCAGGCAAGCTCTCCCTGACTCCAGGCCAAGGGTGCAGACTATGAGAAGATGGCAGTTATATTAAATATTAATTGCCATATCTAAAGCCTTGTGTAAGTCTAATAAATTGCACATTTTATCGATTACAGCACCTTAACATTTACCAATACTTTCTATGTAGCACATTTGATGAAAATAATAAGAATAATAACCACAAGCTACTGAGGACCTGCTGAGGGTGAAACACTTTTTAGGGCGTTTAAAAATGTCATTTGCTCTTCACAACAATAGAAGATGTGTATTAATTTCTTTGGCTTCCCAATAAGGGGGCAGGTTTATTGTTTATCTCATGCAGTCTTTGTTACAACCCTTTTAGATTGGTTCTTTCCAATCCTAAGAAGAAACTGAAGCCCAGAGAGCTTAAGAAATTTGCCCAAGGTCACACAGTGAATCAAAGGCTGGGACTTAAACTACATCTCCTGGACACAAAATTCCGGGGCAGTGCTTTGTTGTGGTTCTCAAAGTAACTCATGTTGTAGTCAGACATCATCCCAATCTTGCAGAGGGGAAGTGGCTCATCGCTATCCCCTCAGAGGTCATTTGCTTAATAGCCACACATGAGGCCTTTGGATCCAGCTCCCTCTTAGCACAGGCTGGGACCCAAGAATTCACAGTGCATGTGGCTGTCGTCATTTTCATTGTGGAAGTTCAGCAGTGGGGCTTTGAGCTCAGACTTGGTACCTGATGCTTGACTGACTGTGTCATGCTTTTGCACAGTCTGCTGCTTGGACCACAGCACTGTCCTGTCATCTCATGCCACATCACTTTCACTGAAGGGCACTGAGGATCTGCAGGATGATCATCCTTGGTGGGAGGCCCCTCCGAGTGGATGTTGGCTGCAGAGACCCTTGGAGCACTGACTCACACTGAGCTGTCCCCATCCTGTCCAGGAGCCCTCCTACACTGCCGCTGCTGGCACAGACCTGGGCTGCAGCCCTCAGAGTCCGAGCGGCAGAATTACTCACTCTCTGATGCTTCCTCTGGCATCTGCTGGATTCCAGGAAGTGGGCTTTGTAGCTGCTCTTTCTCACTCAGCTTTTTCTCTGCCTCCTTTCTTGGCTGGGGCCAAAGCTGACTTCTCTCCCACTTCCTCCAAGCACTGGCATCGGGCATGATGCTGCTCTGGCGCTGAGCGACTGAACGAAGTCCACACCAGCCTGGCTCCCAGCCGTGAGAAAAGAGTTAGTCACTCCGTGACTGCTGCCCAGGCCCTGGGGTGTCGCCACGGGAGGAAATGCACTTCACAGGCCTTCCTGGGGCAGGGGCGCCACAGAGTGCCCTTTATCTCACCGTTGCTTCCCCTTCTGAGGCGCTCGCTGCCGCCTCACTCCGCGCAACCAGCGCTCGGAAGCTGCAGGAGGCTGGGGTGGGTGTGGAGCACAGGAGCAGCTCACTGCTGGGCACCTGTTGTTTCCTCCCCCACCCCAGCAAGCTTATTGTTATTGTCCCTGTCTTACAAAGCGACAGCTCAGTGATGGCAAGTGCTCATTCAAGGTCACAAAGAGCCACTGTGTGGACCTCACCGTGTGCAGTTTGTCCAGGGATCGAGCCACAGCCAGCGAGCTGCTCCTGCCTCTTTCCCTCAGTTTCCCTTTTTGCTCTCTGTTCCTTTGTCACTTTTCCCTATGCCACCTCCCAAGAAGTCAGAGACTTTCCAAAGGATTAGATGACATAACATGCAGCCATGCATGTACTACGTGCTCAGTAAATACATAATACATCTGAATGTGGCCATGCATACTAGGAGTGTTTGCTTTTTAAAAGACTTCCTGAAAAGGTAATACTGTACTTGACCCTAAGGACTAGCGAGTGACTTTTCAGCACCATTTGGAGCTCTCTGGCGGAATGCTCCTTCTCTCGTTTACTGTTCACTCCCACCTTCCCTCCTGGCCTCCTTCCTCTCTCGGTGCTCTCTCCTTTAAAACAAACATTAGCTCTATTCTAGGTGTTTAGTGCTCCGGTCCCTGTTATCACTGTGGGATGTAGCCTCTGTCATTGTCAGAAGCATCCCGTTCTGTAGAGAGATGGGCACAGAGTGGCCTGCTTACCTGCCAAGGCACACACAGCTGGTCTCAGATGAATGGCAGCTTGGAGGTGAGTGTTGGGGTCTTTGGCTGCTGGCCCTGCTGCTCTAGAGGCAGGGATGGCTTCCTGGGACCACCTGCAGCCCTCACAGCCACCCGACAGTTTTCAAAGTGTGTCCGTGTCTCACTGCATCTGTCCCCCGCATCTCTGCACAGCATGAATGGTCACCCTGGGACAGCAGGGAACTGGGTGACTGCGCAAGGTCTGTGACCGGCAGTGAGTGGCCCATTAGAGTGCAGACGAGGCTGGTGCTGAGGAACTGGAGCTGGGCAAGGAAAGCTCCCTGTGTTCTTCTCCTACCACTGGGGCAGGGACGTGCGCGCGCGCGCTTGTGTGTGTGTGCGTGTGTGTGTGTGTGTGTGTGTGTGATAGTTGTAAAAGTATTCCTCAGACCTTGCGGTTTTAATAAAATGTGAAAAACATTTTTACCAACACCCCCCCTCCCCGTTTGTAGGTACTGCATAATTTAAGGAAATGTAATCCATATGTCTGATTATTCATACTTCCATCATCAAAAATATTGTTGATTCTTTGAGGAGCATTTGATGTTCTGCCTGGAAGCCAATTTTTTGTTTGTTTTTGAGGGCAGAGAGAAAGAGAAAAAAAATTTTAAAGTAGCTTTCTTTTTCCTACTACCTAATTTCCCTTGAATAGCATTTTATGTCATTTGACAGGAGATGAACAAGTAGTAACTAGAGTATCCCACGTTTTCTTGTGCATCTTTAATGTCATGAGAAACCCAAAAAGCCATTCCAGTTTCCAGCTCACCAGTGGGGTGGGGAGGGAGCTCATGCTTGTGCCTTCCTGCTGAGGGTTGGATGCTCCCTGCATCTTACCTGGCATCCACAGCACCCTGGGGTGGAGCTGTTGCTGGGAGCACTGCAGCATCAAGTCTGTCCAGTCATCCCTGGTGGCCAGATCATTGTCCCGTTTCTCAGATGACACTGGGTGCTCTGACAATCTGATTGCCCTACTTTCACTCCTTGTGATCATACCAGTTCTGCTAGAGGAGAGGAGGGGAGAAGCCCTCCCCACCCACCTCAGTGACCCACGGAAGAGGAGTGGGCTGGTCTCCCCTGCACACTGAGGCTGCTTCTGGGGAGAAAGCGGCCTCCTTGGAGGCTGGGGCAGAGGGTAGGGGGCTGGCCGGCTGGGTGGAGAGAGCCCGGGCGTGGGGAGAGAGACGGCAGATTGTTTCTGGGTGGAATTTTCCAGACAGGCCCTCAGTCAGAGCACAAGCGTGCCTTCTGCATTTCACTATAATTGTTACTGACCTTTAGTGAGATGAGCAAAATTACTCTCTCGTAGCCCTCCACCCCCACCCCTTTTTACAAAATTGTTTTCCCTGACTTTTCGAAAATGAAGTTTGGCAAGTCCAGCCCTGACAGCTGCCCTGCCGACTGCAGGGAAACAATGTGTCTCCTTATGGCCCCTAACAGAGCACTGGCAATTAATCTATTGATCTCAGTAGAAAACCCTATTGTATCAGGGCTGCTAGGGGAAGGCTGGGCCCTGCCCCTCCCCGCCTCCACAGAATGCACATTGAAGTCAGCCCCCAAATTGATGGCAGGATATGGCCCCAAAAGCCTCCAAATTAAAGGGGCCCAGAAAAAAAGTCAATGGGCTGTGGGGTGGTAGGAAAATGCGGAGGGCAGGGGCCTCCTGGGCTCTGGGCAGGGGGAGTGGCAGGTCGTCTGTGTCCAGAGGGTTTCCGTCACCCTTGGCCCTGGTTTTCCTTAGTGCGTTGCACAACTTCAGACCATACACTGGAAGTTTGCGGGTTGCTTGACCTTTGGTTGATGCTGCTGCTGCTGTGGGTTAAACTGAATAATACTCCCCACCCCCGGGAACAGGGCACAGTCTGGCAATGCCCCGCCTCACTCACTCACCTCTCACTCAGCCTGGTGGGGTGGCAGGGATGAGAGGACCATCTGATGTGGGCTGGGTCCCACCTCGGTTGCTTCTCAGTTTTCCCAAAACCTCCAGAATCCGGGGCAAATGAGCAGAGGATAGGGCTTCCGGCCCAGGGAGCAGTGGCCTGATTTGCCAACTTCCATGGAGAGCACAGTTGGAGAGCTTCCCCACGCCAGGCACTGGATAGGGGAAGAGTTAGCTCCCCTTGCTGCCTGGGCCCACACTCCCTTCCACAGAGGGTGGGTCAAGAGGACTGCGGCTGGGCATGCGGACTGAGTAGAGCCTGTGATCTATGTGATCGTCCTGGGGCTCCCTGCATGCTGTGAGGTTCCATGCACTGCTCAGCTCCCAGGAACCCTGTTGCTGGTACCTGTGAGCCTTTTCTTCTCTGCCTCACCCTGGGCATTTTCTTCCAAATAAATGTGCAACTAATCTTCAAGGAAATGCATACCCTCCAAGAATGCCTTCCACTGAGCCCTGGTGGTGAGATTATTCCCACTTTACAGGTGAGGAAGCTGAGGCTCCACAAGGTGGAATGACATGCCTGAGGAGGCACAAGTAATAAGGGGTTTTCCAGACCAATAGAAATGCAAAATCTGAAAGATCTGGGATTCTTGTAGCCATATCTCCATGTCTTTATCTTGTATAGCACCTGGCAGGTAGATGATGCTCAGACAATTCATATTAACTAAATGAATCAACTGCTTTTTGTTCTTTTCTAGGACCCATGGGGCCCTGATTCTCTATCTGCCGGGTTGCTGTGTGCTGTTGGTGGTCCTTCTGCTGTTTAGCAGTCCTTCTAGAAGGGACTTCTGATGAGGTCGGTTCACCCAGCCTCTCAGTGGGCAGGTTCCCACTCTGATAACTCCGGCTTCCCTCTCTGCCTCTCTGTTACTTCTGGCAATTATTTCTTCCAAGGCCACACTGTACAGGGATGTAGAGAAATGTGGCGGCCCCACGGGATTGGTGGGACTCTTGCAGCCCACACTGTTGAACTTCAGGGTCTGGGAAGCTGAAGCCCCATGGCTCGACACGAGATGCTGCTCTGGGTGCTCGTGTTGAATGAAGGCTTCTTCAGCCCAGAGGCTGTGTGGTCCAGCGAGGTCACACACCTGTCAGCCTACCCTGCCTCACCCAGACAAGACACTTCCGGACCCAGAACCATGGGACAGAGAACTATCTGAATCCTCACAGCTGCTCTGAGGGGTAGGTGTGCCTGCCCCATGGCCCAGCTGGAGAGACTGAGGTGGCCAAGTCACTTGTTAATGAATGATGGAAAACAGGGCTTTCCAGGCCAGTTTTGCTCAGTGTGGCCGCTGAGGTGCCCAGGCCGCTGTCCTACTTTCCCCTGCCATGCCTGGGGGAGTTGCCCTGGAGAGGGAGAACTGGAGCAGAGCTCTGGCTTTTGTTCTGTTATAGCTCTTTTCCCCAGGATGTCTTGGGCCACAGCCCTTTATCTGGATACTCAGATCCTTACAGGCCCTGGACTGCAGAGCAGAGTTCTACCTGCAGAGGCTGGAACAATGCCAGCAGGGTTTATATACAATTCTAAGACCTGATTAGAAAAACATGTTTAAAAAATGGAAGGAGAAGAAGCTACGCATGCAAAAAATGTGGGCTTCTCCTTGTGGGCCGCCTCTGCCTTTGGGTTCTAGGACTGTGCAGACCCAGACTGCCAGCCGGAGATGAAAGGGGATCTTTCAACATTTCCACCTGTGGTCTGCACTTTCTCCCTGCTTGGTTACCATTGGGCCTGCTATGGAATTTCACTCATGCGGGGATTCCCCTACCCCAAAAACAACTCAAACAGAAGAGCTGGCATAGTCAGGCAGGAAAGGCTTGCAGCTACCTTCTTTTATGTGACTTGGAATGGTTCCTGCTTCTGACTGAGTAAGTTTGAGCTCCAGAAAGGAGAACACATGAGCACACAGCGAAGCGAAGCTGGCCTCGGTGGGTATGGGGGCTTGGACTCTACTGTTGGGGCCTTGGGAAGTCCACTGTGCCATGGGAACCAGAAGATCTGAGCTGAATTTCTGATTACTGTAGGACTATTTGTATGACTTTGAACAAAGTACTTCATTTCTGTAACTGTCACCAAGCTCATCAAAGCAAATAGGAATTCTGCCTATATTTTGTATTTCTGTGAAAATTTAAAAAGATGAAGAGATAAGAACATGTGTCTTTTTCCTTCTTTCTCTCTCCTGGCACATCCCTCTCACCTGTATGGTCTGCAACAGGAAGGAAGCTTTGAGATGGCTGTGTGAAAGACACAGGAAGACCCTAAATCGGAAACTTTGAGTACTAGCAGCTCAACCTAACCGATGAGGACTTGTGTGTTTGTTTGTAGGTATATTTTGAAGTAGTGATTTTTAGAAGAAAAGACAACTTCATGAGGGGAGGTATGAAAGTTTTCCATATCCCTCCCAGCATTAAGCAGAGTGATAAGTAAGATGAGTCTATTGCTTTATAAACTACCTGTTTTATCCCAGGCGCTGTGTGAATACGATATTGTATAACGAACAACTGTTATCCAAATTTCCACATAAGGAATTAAGGCCTCAAGCTGTCCAGGAGTGGAGTGAAGATTTTAATCGTGCCAGTGATTTTCAAACGCCCTTGTGCTCATTGATGCTTATGGCACCCGTGCTCATGGGTGTGTTCATGATTCTAAATGGGGGGACCCCAAATGGAAGAAGGTGGTCTTGACATGCTGTCTGTTTGAACTTCAGGAATGATTTCTAAACCTGTAAATGAAAATACTAATAGTTACCTGAAACTTTGGTATGCTTACATGAGACATGTCCAGAAAGCACCTCAGAGTGTGCTTGCCCCGGGGGATGGGAGGTTTCTCTTGTGACAGACTGAGAATGCTGGACGGGTGGTTTGTGGGGAGCAGCTAAAGAGTTAGAGGGAGACCTAGAGAAAGTAGTGGAGGATCATGTGGAGCCTCCTCCAGGGGCTGCCACTGTCCCGAAGGCCTGAGGGTGATCTGGGGACAGTCATGGAACCAGCAGAATGGGGTCATGAAAGCAGATATGGCCTTCAGTAGAAGAGGGCAGTAGACCCAGAACTGCCTTCCAGAGGAGCTGCGGAGGGCCTTGTTCCCAGTTTCTGATCCACTGGTGGTTGTACCAGCCAGACTTGGTAGGGATCTGCAGCAGGAAGTCCAGTGGTGTCCTCCGCATTGTCAGTGTCCTAGGGCAAATAGTCAATGCAGGAAGTGGGTCCAGGTGGGAAAACAGAATGTCTAGTAGAGTGTTTCCTAAACACAGAACCCAGGTTCCACTCTGAAATTGCTTACAGCCCATTGGAAAGATCCCACTTTCACTCAGGCTCACCCTATAAAGTGGGGTGCTGCTAATCTTTGATAAAGCGGCCAATCAAACTCACTGGAAGAA